GTCCATTCAATTTCATGAAGGTTATTTGACAAACGAGGAATCGGTTTCAAGTAAATTCAATAAATTCGGCTTAACAAATAATACATTTATAAATTAATATGTCATTGTTTGTTTGTAGAGTACGCACAGAAGTGTTATGGAGACCCCCTTACATACAATATCGGAACAATTTCAAATGGCAGTTTGGAAAAAGTTGTGCGATGCCATCGATTTGTCATCCGAGGGTTTATCAAGGCGTCATCTTGTCTTATACGTGCGGTTACTAGGAATGACAATCGAATTTAATCCGTTCAAGTTCAAACATCACTGCGAATAAGACCCAGTGGTGGTCAAGTACAACTGCACATATATATCGTCTTATAATGATCATGGTTTGGTAGATTTGTTGTTGTATTTAAATTGTGAGGTGAGCTCAAAATGTGTCAGTGAAGAATATTTGGATATCAGCACGGGTTTACGAGTAAACACGTACAAGACTACGAATATCACAGTGTAAGTCGACGGAAGCATTCTCTTCACCCAATAAGATGATTGGGTGAAATAACCACTCCATCACATCTGGGACACCTATTAAAGGCTGCCCCCAAGCGTACCTCCAAGCCCCGATACCAACTGCGCTAATTTCAGCTATCGTTCAGACCCACACACGGATTTTCTCACGAAGTCTTTGTCTTAGCATTTGACAAGGTTTTCGCAAATGAGCGGGAGAGTAAAATCGAAAATAGGGAGGTAAAAAAGATGTGAAACGACAAATTGACGTCAGCTGCCCGCCGCGCTGCAAAAGAGATGAGCGTTAGCGGGGGAAACAAGCGAAAATCGATGACAGTGGCTTTAGGGCCACTCCGATAGGGCTTGCAAAATCACAGATTAGGCGAGAAAATGAAAGGGTAGATGGCACGAAATAAAGCAGATTACTACTCGTTTTGTGGACGCACCGATAATATTTGAGGCAGATGACAAATCCGAACGCTATTCTTGTCAAATTCGCGTGCAATGGCCGCTGAGGCTTGATAGTTCAACAAAATGACATTATATTTGTTGTCTACATTCAACGTGTGAGCTCATTAGGGTTATATGTTATGACATCTATTACAGTAGATTTTTGGAGTAATCTCGTGGTCAAATAATCAGTGAAGATGGCAATATACCAACCTGACATTTGAACGTGTCACATGACATACTGGCGTTTGCACTCGTTTTATACATAGTCGACTAATGGTGATATCGAACAAAACTATTTTTAATTTCTCAAAAGCCCGTATAATAAAAATTGTTGAGAACTGTTATCAAATCATTATGGTGTATGTCCTGGTGACGTACGGGAGAGCGCCAATCAAATCATAGGGGTCAATGAAGGGCCGATTGCAGATCGTATTTTGGTCCACAATGTGACAAGCTGTCCGTCAAACGTCGATCAAGGGTGCAGTGACACGAATGAAATTTCCCCCTCCCATATTTTAATTGAATCATATGCCATTTAACTGATTAGCTCATTTACCCCATTCTTGTTCTAATTAATACATATCTCCGTTGGTGACCGGATTAAAGAAGACTGGGAAGGCCCGTCGAGAACTCCGCCCAAGACCACCAACTAAATCTCGCTCTAATCTCAGTAGTTACGCAATCGATATGGGTGCCTTGTTTAAAAATGGAATTTCAAAAAAATCAAATTAACATTCTTGGTTGATCTTCTGAAAACTGTCCTGTGTGTAGAAGTTAGAAGAGGAAATCACTAGTAAATAAAATCATATTTTCTCGCGAGATTGCGAGAAGTTATAACTCTCTACCTTTTTCAAACAAACTGAATAAGTACGTGTAACTTCTGACGAATAAGCCGATGAGCTAACAAGACGTTTGGATATTGATTTTTATCCTGGATATTTGCGGTCGATATCCCCGAGATGAATCCAATTAAAACTCCGTTTCTCCCATTCTGCATTCTCGAACACAAGAATCTAGATTCATCGGCGGATCAAAGCACCTGCTGTTATTACAGAAAAAGGCAGGTACCCTCATCAATGGCAAAAATGTCAGATTCTGCAGTAGTTACCAGTCAGAAATTGGACGAGTTTCTCTTTACTCAAACGCTGTATGAGGTATGTGGTATATTTATTCACAAAACAACATTCCTATTCGATCGCGCCGCCCTTTTCTACGCATGAATTGTTTGTTTGAAAGAATATTGTAAATGGAAACAGAGATAGGAATTCTACCAAAAAAACACAAAAACAGAAAGAAAAAAAAACATGTTCAAAAGTGTTACAAAGTATTTGCTGGAAAAATGTCGCATCTCATACAAAGTCAACATGACGAAATGTTCTTTGTTCGTGACGGACAGAGAGAACATCTAAGAAATATCATCACCAGTGCTAGACATATTTACTGATTATGTTTATAGAAATCAAAACATATATTTCGATGTGATTATTAGTCCCACCTTTCAACTTCAGTTCTATTTTTACCCAGGCTCTGATTTCTCCTCAGGGAATAATATTGAAAACCACATGGGTAGGTCATTTTTTGTTTAAGCCACACATATTACGCAGTAGGTCAGAACTGCCAGCGTATATATACAATCTACTGACATTTATCAGAAGCTGAGAATCCTCCCCAGCTTTTATCACAACGTCGCGGGGAGGGAGGAAGAAGCGACGCTCTTTCATCACAGAGCAAAGCAGATCACAATCGGCAAGCTTCGGGCTATATCGGGAGAAGGTAGAGGGATTTGTCTGGAGGTATACTGTCATTATATAGACTGGAAAATACCAGTGCGTTTAGGAGAGCGAGACTCATAATGTTTACGGGAAATTCTATAGTTAAAAAAAGATGAATATCACTTCGGAAAATCTACGTGCAATATTGGTAACTCTCATCCGATCGAATCTCACTCGCCCTTCTACACACAAAAGATAATTTTCCACGCGCTCACACCTGATAAAACATTTGTCTATTTCATCCGCGGGTCATGGTGCGATCACTATTAACGATTCCTATCCCGCACGATACTTGTATTGCTCTTTCAGGCTGATAGTATCTATATACTCGTTAAAGACGAATTCACGTTTTTGCTTTCCGGGCGCGAGTGAGATCGGATTTCTCGTATCGTTATTAGAAGTGAATTACGGTAACTCTGCGTATTCTTGTCTTCGCTTTAAGCAAAATACGAAGTAGCGAATTATATGAAATGGAAAAAAAAACACGAAAGCCCGGTTTTAGCATTGTTATTGGAGTGTATGATTCAGTGCGCAATAGTGAAATAAGACAAAGCAAAGAATCATCAACCAAGCTTTGTCGATCAAGGGAATGGCGTCTGAAATCTGATTTCCTGGGGGTTGTCGTTTCGTTTTGAAGTTGCACCTGCAAGGAACGTGACAACCGAAGTCTCGGTCTCGGACGCCCCTCCCCGAAGCGGGCGCAGTGCACATAGCAGTTACCATATTTTTAATAGTCCTAACATCATACAAAGAGAAGACCACGAGCACTTTGACTCGCAAATGGATTTACGTTGGTCTATCGGCTTGTTTATTTTGAAATACATCCTAATCCAGCCTGGAGTCCGCAAAAATCAAGTCAGAGATCAGTGACGGGAATGGCTAGTCGCCGGGGAGTGGTCCAATTTGCATTTTTGCCCTCTAGGGTGTACAGAAAACACTGCTCTCAGCTGGAGCGCTGACATAAAGAACCGAACTTGTAGAATGCGAACGTATACATAACAGTGTTTTACTGACAGTGTAGCCGTCGTTCGACAAAACATATAATATATACAGAACAGTGGCGTATATTAAAAAATATATGACGATGCATATCGCTCAACCCTATACAAGGCCGTAGGAACCGTACCGGCTATGGCCGGACCAGTTCTGCACGCCCCCTAGCAGACATGGTCCTTCGGCCCACGTCATCAGGCCCTCGATGGATGGCCGGACCAACTAATTTTTGCTTCCTACGGCCTTGCTATAGTATGAACATGGAAGGTAGTAGTTCTTACCTTCCACGGTAAGAGCAACGCGTTTGCAAATGATGTGATAACTGCTCAGCGTATGGCGACACGCAATCCAATTATTTTCTTTCTCGAAAAATGCTGAACGAAACGAGTCTCGGCATTTGCGTGAGTTCGTGGCACCGCTTTAAATCCTGTGCGATAGGTTAATGCTATTTCATGCAATTGAGACTTGCCTCACTTCGGGAGTTGTGTTCATCGGAAGGCTCAATTTTATCTTGTTTACCTCTAGACATGCAAAGTTTCCAATCTCAGCGTTGTTGGTTTGTTGGCAGATCGTTTTATTTCTAATGCGGACGAGTTTAAATTTTCTGCGTTTCCCCGATCGTATCGCCCTGCCCCTGCAGCTGCCTATGTTTATTATAAAACAGGTTTCCGTCACGTCTTTGATTGTCACCTTTTTAACATTTAGGGCAACAACTGGGTGCAAGGGTATTTAGTTCACCCTGAATAAATTACACACAGTTCGTTTGTGTAAAGTTGTTCGAGCCTTTCCAGTCCATTTGTTTCGTTGAAACCATTGCCTGCCTAGTCCTCATCTCGCCATTGTCCTTTTCATTCATAACTGCCCGTATTGAAAAGAAGCTCTGACACAGCTGCGTGTACTCTCCCGGTCGTAAAACCCATCTAAAAGCAATGAAATATTTTTTATTAAATATATCATCTTTCGCGTTGAAGAGATATCGCGCGAACCGTAATACCTCGCGAGACTAATCTGGGCAAATTATATGAATTTGGCATGAGACGGCTGGGATTGGGGGATACGCGAGGAACTACTTGGCAGCGGCCAGCCAATCAGAATGCGGTTTCCACTGAGCAATGGGGTTGACCCCTGACAGTAGGTGTCGATCAATGCGTATGGAAGTGCTCACAAAACCCTTCGTCCTGTTTAAGCGCTGAATTGAATGTCAACCGAAGCGACCGGCCCTCCCCTCTCATTATATCTACTCAGCCCAATAATAGACAGGCTATACAGCGTAGAGCCTACATATTGTTCGGACTGGTCTAGCGTCGATGCACGCGTTTTCTTTGCGTGGTAAATTCACAACACCAACCCAGTAACGTAATAGTAATTTTCGCCTGTGTTGCGTTCTACATATAGCTTTTGGATGGGTATTATGGAAATCGGTCGATATAGCCCCAAGGATGAACGGGATATTTTACTCAGCACCGTTGACGTTCACAAGACATCGGTAAAAGTGTTAGACGGAAACCACGACGCTGGGCAGTTGGAAATCGAAAGGGTAGGCGTTAATTTTATCCCACAGATCAACTCCGTGCTGGTGTGCACACTTCCCTCGAACCAATCTTTGACGTGTTTCTATCTTATCATCTGATGAGTTGTTCCTTATGGTGTTCGTACATCGTCAGAGCGTAGGTCCGCGACTCATGCGAGTCCGTCCCTATCTCCACACAGAACGAGCCTCAACTATAAACACGCGGATTAATTTCTTCATTTTTGTTTAAACTTGATGTTTTTTTTCTTCTTTCCTCAACGCAGACCATGCCTGTTATAAATCGGGAGAATAAACCGTGTATATGTGCTGGATGCGGTGGTCGTATATTAGACCGCTACTATCTCCTCGCTGTTGACAAGCAGTGGCACATGCAGTGTTTGAAATGTTGCGAGTGCAAACTTCGACTCGACTCCGAACTTACATGTTTTGCCAAAGACGGGAGCATATACTGTAAAGACGATTACTACAGGTAAGAGCGCACTTTCTGTCTTCGTGTGAAATTCTTGTGAAATTTGCATTTTTTCCCTTCACCAATGATTTTTTCTATATCCATAGTGCGGCATAAACATGTTGAATGCCCGGATATGAAAACATATTTAACACAACTGTTAAGATAGGCAATGATTATGTACGTTCCTGTTGCACTTACGTATATACACGCCGTGTACTTCATTTCAAAATAATGATTATTGAAATTTACCATACCAACGTAAGTCTCAATTCTGTAATAATAGTCCGATATATCCATAACACACAGGCGAGTTACGGAACATTCACCGTGTGATAAATACATACTTTGAAAAACATTATTTGGGAACGTCCATTCGTTTGAATTGGATCTGCTAACGGTAATTTGCAAATTACTCGAACTCCCCTAAAACGGGTTCTAGTAGAAAGGTTAGTAGTAAATGTACTACACATTCAGCCTGAGGGCGCGATAACAGTGCCGTCAGTGTGATGGCATATGCGAGTGCCATAGTTATTATCATTTCGGTAAAATGACGACGTGGGGCCTGATAAAATGAGGAAGACTTCTCAGGGTGTACAGTGATCGACAAGATCCGGCACTGTTAGGTATTTCATAAAGTTAGACTGTACCCCCTCCCACGTTCTCCGAGACGCTAGAGTATAACGAAATGTCATTGCGATAATCGTGATATACACAAGAAGGTTTAAAATTAAGCATTAAATGTCATATCTAGGTAGAGTTAATAGCCGGACATCTTTGTAGACGTCATTTTTTTCTTGTCAGTTAAATACACATTCAAAATGCACTTGTACAGATATGCGTATTCACGTATATACGCCCATCGTACCATAGTGTTAAACTCACACCCCTTGTGGAAAGTTGCCAAAACATGCAAGACGTGATTTTAACTACTATTGATCTGTGATGTTCAACCAAAGAATGGCTAAACTCCATATTCAATACTTCTACCGTGACCCAAGTGACGTGCAGGGACAGCGTGGAAATTTTGAATTACTAACAGTATTAGGATAACATTCCAACCCCTGAAGAGACGAAATTGAATAAAGTCTACGTATGCTGTGATCGTCGCGTGGCACAGCCTATGCTTAAGTTTAGATTTAAACAGTCATAAAAAAGATCACTAAAGTGTTCAATAAATTTGACTTGTTCTGTGTTTTGTTGGCAGTATTACTATATACACATGTATTTCACAATTCTAGTGCATTACACGACGACTAGACGTGTTAAATTAAAACTCTAAATCGGTGACATATCTTTAAAATTATGTAGATGATTGTAGTTGTTCGATCTGACCAATGATGTTCCAAACTCATTGTATTTCCCGGTTTTCCCACCAACTCTCTTATCATTAACTCGACTTGTTATCACCGAGGTTGACGTGTTTTGTGTCTGTTTCACTGTCACTGGTGATCAGATCGATGAATTAGCACGTAATTGTTTAGTAAACCAAACTGCGTCGTCCCCTACTGTTTTACCTCCTTTGTAGTATTCTATCATCGGCGTTTAATATTATATAAAGTAGTTCACTAGGCTTCTCATCTCAAACTTGGCATTCCACTTTACGGGGGTCTGGTGGAGGTATGGTACTTGAAGAATGGCCACTGTAATTGTTATTTTTGTACAACTAGTGATAGGGGTGTTTGAAGCGCAGATGCTAACATTGTTTTATTGTTTCGTTGCGTCTTCACTAAAATGTAAATTAGGTAACACCAAATGATTGTTATTCTGATTTTAACACAAGCCATTTCCATAGCAACCCGAAAAACAGCGATGTGACACTGTGTATTCGAATATTTTTCCTATAGAGGGGAGATTTTTGTTTTGTTGTCGCGCCGATAAAACAGTTGCCGCCGTTGATTTTTAGCACCAAGATGTCATATCGTTTTACATGCAATCTAAACTTGCCCTGAACTTGGTATAATCCGGAATAGTGGACGGGTCTTCACTATCGCCAAAATATAATGTCGACTTTATTAGTCGTCATGTGACTGTAATTCGTTAAATGCACTCTTATTCCGCAATTTGTGGATAATTCCGAAATAAATTGAACTTCGGATTCACACTTAACCAATTTGACCAGGAACTGATTTCATTTCACACGTTCTGATTACGTTTATCGTGACACTCATTCATGATTCAGTTTTCACAGTTTCATTATATTTTATTTCCATTGCTCCTAAACTTGAACTGAAATATCATTCATTATCTGTGTCCACCCGCTCAACTCTTTGTGTAGATTTTTTCGACTTTGACAAATGATATTGATAATTGGATATAAGGTTGTATTCGAGTTGTCAGACGTTTGAATACTTAGTCCAAAATATAGATGTCAAGGAACGGGTGTTGTGAACAAATCATCAAGGAAACATCTCCAACTGTATCCTTTGTAGTCGCCAAGTTTATTTGGTTACCATCAATGCAGTCACTGTCAAGTGAATGGTCAACACACAAGTCCGTTTATCTGGACGTGTCAACACCGAATAAACATCTTACTGTCTCATTACAATGAATTGTTTATTTACCAGTTTCCGGTTTGATTAGTTTCTCAAAAAGTTGTAACTTTGGGCTGAACGATGTTTCTCTTGTGAGGCCTTCTGCACACATGATTAATTAAGGTGGCCATTACCGGAATTCACCGTTGTCGACAAATTCGGGTGTGTTTTGTTGACCCGGGCAGTTATGCACTTTATATACAAGGACACGGGTCAGATTGAGCATCGCAAGTTCCATGGGCAGAAAATTTGATCAAATTCGAAAGATGTATGCACCTTTGCTCTCTCTGTCAATGTCAAAGAGATAATGGTTGTCATCTAATGTGCAAAAGTGCATCGAGCGCCAAGCGCACTGCTCGTCGAAATGGCATATTATCCACTTCGAACCAACAGTTTTACGTTTTGATTATCATCGCTAGTGTTACGAACTTATGTACGACACAATCATTTTGGATTTTAATGTGTTTTTCAATGTTCTGTTGCAGACGATTTTCAGTGAAAAGATGTGCAAGGTGTCATCTTGGAATCTCGGCCAGTGAGATGGTGATGCGTGCACGGGATCTAGTCTACCACCTCAGTTGCTTTACGTGCGCAACTTGTAATAAAGCCCTGGCGACAGGCGATCACTTCGGTATGAAGGATGCCATGGTGTACTGTCGATCGCACTACGAGGCAATGCTACACACAGAACATGTTATGGGGCTTAGCCCTTACCACCATCAACCAAGTCCGATGCCGGGCGCCTCGCCGACCCAACATACGCCATATTACAATGGTGTGGGAGCAGTGCAAAAAGGGAGACCGCGGAAGAGAAAAAGTCCAAATCTCGAAAACGATTACCATACACAAGGTAAGCAGAATTCACTACTCAAAAAGTCTGAAACTCAAATTGAAGCTTAAATGTCCTTTTCAATGTAAAATATTCTAAAAATATCAAAATCAAAGTGATATGCGTTAAAACGTAATAAATACAAATGGCGATATAATCCATATATTTACTAATTACCAGGCATTATATCAACAATACCTTTTTATAATCCAAGTCTATTGTCTACAAAATATAATCTCGATAAAGTTTTTATATATTTTACATTTTTTATATATTATATATTTTTATATATTTGCATTGCAACTTATAAATAATCGCGCCATTAATATACATTGAATATAAGCACAAAACACGTTTTTTTCGCATTTTCAACCATAGAATGTCTTGGTAATTTCACAGACATTGGGCGATTTATTGAAAGTTTGCGGACGTGTCGTATTGTTCAATGCATACGCGGGAGAGCGTAGATATGTTTTCCTAACAGTATTCACAATACCGACAATACCTTCACTATGAATGTATATACCAATGCCTTTTGAAAGTCTATGTAAAATATATTGTGTTTCATTTCTGTATTTGGTCGACGAACACGTTGTGTGAGCGATCGACCCTGAATCGATGGGGTTAGGGCATTGTGGAGCTGCATGCGACAGACAAAGGCAGCAAAAAAACATAGAAAACAACTTCTCTTATGTTTACTAGTAATTCACTATGCATTTGCTTGTCTTTGAGACCTAAGCTCGACAGTTTGATCGCCGCTCATCGCCCGTCTTCCACCATACCAGCGCAGCGCGAGCACATTCCAACAGAGTCTATCATACGCCACATTTCACCAATAAGTCCCAGTGTGTGGAAATTCCTAGCTAATTATGTTGAAACGAGAAGAGACTGTCAAAACCAATTCATCAACACCTTATGGTACGGCCAATTTACCTTGCTAAACGCTTTCTGTTGTAATATTATTAGCAGCAGTAATGAATTTAACCATATCCCCCGATTCAGGATCTCCACTTTTCACTCGTCCTTTGGGATTTTGAAACTTGTGTTGTGCAGATGACGTTTGTTTTGAAAGTTCTGAAGGTTGTACATACACTCACAGACACAGTACATGTGTTTTGAGTAGACAGTATATTTTGACTAATAGCAGGATACGGCCAACATTCAACACTGCCAGAAACAATGTGCCTATATCGATGACTTCACACAATATGTCTTAAACTTTAAAAGATGGTATGTGGATGCTAATATTTGCTAATGTTGTCAAGACGGCTGTAATAATAGTGAATTCAGGTGTTTCCAATATTTGTATATTGTCTTAGCATTCGGTGTTTAAATACCAAGTCTCTCGAAGTATATCTTTATATACATTTAAAAGATCTCACCGTCGAAAAGTCCCAGGGTAAGCACATAGGTCAGCCTCAGTTGAAATAGACGTGCGTCCTAATGTTTAGAGGTCAATTAAAATGTCCATTCAAGCTCACGTAGCATTGTGCATAAATTGGATTCTTGCTATAAATTAGACCACATGCTTGAAAAATTATTAATAAATAAATAATAAATAATTTAAAAAAAAATAATAAAAGTAAAAACTGATTGTAGCCGGTTTACATTGGACATAGCACTTTGGTGTTAGAATCAATGCCACTACCACTAGTCTGGCAATCACAAATTAACCGTGATCTGCCGTTAACTCACAACTATCCTAAAATGAACAAGTCATACCAAAGCACCAATATCATTGCGAGACAGTTAACTCTCAAAGCTTTCGCACGAACCGTGAAGAAACGTGGATAGTCCTTAGTTTTCAGTAAACAGCGCGTTAGACGATTTTCCTCAACTGACCGATGAACATATCTCCTTTTTAATCGACTGGAAAAATGTCATTTCAAAAATAGTATTAACCACGTATATCACTTTATTTAAGTACGCGTCGTGCTGAAATTAACGAACAAAGGACACTGAATGTCTCTGAGTTTGATTCGATTACCGCACAACGTGCTCAGATTCGCCTCACATTAACACGTACTTAGAAAAGATGCATTTTAACGTTTATAACATAACTGGAATCGGATTAAACAGGAAGAACACGTGAATGAAAACATTCGTTCTTATCGCGTGATATAATATATGTTATTTACGACGACTTCGTTGTGCATCTTTTTTTTTCTTTTTTTTGTTGCACTACACTGTATATTTCCCCAAGGATAGTGGTTAGAATATAACAGAATATTTACAGATATATATACACATATGAATTTATTATTTACAGTCACCGTAGAATCTACCTGAGACATATTTTGTAGATTTGGCGTGAGAATGCGTTTGGATGAATCGAGCGACTGTACGATATACGTCTTGATTTCAATAACGTTTACACTTAGTTCGCCGTGAAATCACTGATCACTGTAATAAATGTGGAATCACAAAACTCTGTATATCCCCCTCCCACGTTTATAGCCCACCCAATCGTTATTTTAATATTAAAAACACTCTTTCACTCGCTGCATCGAATTGCGGCCGACATTATTTGTGAACAAAACACAATATTGAATACGTCCATTTAAAATTAAAAATTTACGTTAAAAAATAACCGTCACATAACTACTGAAACACAGTTTAAGTAATCGGACTACTCCCGCCATGGTGGGATGGTGTTAATATCCAACCACTCCCCTCCTACTTTTTACTCATTGTAAACAAATCTGGTTTCAATTGTTATGGATAATAGTGTGATGTCTATCAACGAATGTCCAGTATTAGATTTAGTAAAAATCTATTAACAAGTTCTTTGATTTCATTATCGTGATAACCTTCAAAACCTAAGACTTTAGCGAAAAAAAAGTGATCCTCAGCTTGATTAATTTGACTGCGATTAACAACGTTTTTAGAAGGGCCCAGCGAAAGGGAAGAAGTATTTTGACTATTTACTAGTCAACGACGTAAATACAAAATACGTTTTCACAATTTAACATCGTATAGTGGGGTTCAATTTTGCCGAAAATATGTACATTATTTTCCTTCTTTTCTTCATGTTTATCGGTTATAATACAGAATGACGTAGAAAGCTTGGGATTGAGATTGAAATAAGCGTTCGAATGTCAGTAGAACTCGGAATCTATACAAAATGGGTCTGTGTTGACGGGTGCGTCTACGTTGACGCTATCTAAATTATAATCAAGCTTGCGTTTGATAAACACGTTGTTGCTAACCTTGTAAATAAGCCACTCAACATTTTCCGCCGATAATAAATACTTCCTCGCCCAAATGGCACGAGTACTTAGAAAAATAAACACCATATTGATAGATGGGTTAAAATCACCCAGTATCACGTGACAATGTTCGAATGAATGCAATCTCTATTTGTTTTTCGCCATTATACTACAGGGGGATACTTGTGTGTCCCATTGCGATTATAACTGTCCCGCACTAAACTGAGTTCAGACCTGTTTTACCACGGCCGCTCAGCGCCCGGACATTTATTTAAAGCGAGGTGGTCGTCGCGCAGCGCGTGTTCGATTTTCATGTAAATAAACAATGTATTTTACACGCGTTGTATACGTCGCTATGAGTCCCATATCGAACAGGACGCGGCACGACGACTGTCGCCCTTTAACTTCATACATCACCAAACGTTCACGTGATTTGTATGCAAAACAGCTGCACCTTGGGGAGAAAACACTGAATTACTGCTGGGGTCATTTTCGTATATATGGGGAAACACTCTATAAATAGCACGGGGGTTCGATATATGCCACGTATAGGCGCCTCAGAATAACAAACATACATACAAACAAATAGATCACTACATAGACCTTTCACTATCAATTCCTTCACATAGACTACAAGAACGTGTACATGAAAAGGTCCATCACTGCGGCCATCCGCTCATCACCCTACATTTACTTTCTATTTAAAACACATATAGTAGTATACCCAAGGCGAATAATACAAGAATCATGAAAAGTATATTAAAAACAAGATCTACACTGCAATCATGATTCCGATGGATTGGCCCCTCATTTGAATTCAATTAATTTAACTCGTAAACCGATAAATCGCTTTACTACTCAGGTAAAATTAAAAGTCGTGACCTAAGCGCGTGTTTAGACCACCATTTCGTCTCTGCGGATAGCATGTAGATTTGGGCGACTATAGAAACAGATATCCGCGTCAATTGAGCATTAAGCGATTTGTCAGAGGTGCAATTTGAGTTTGATTAACGGAGGCATGTTTGTTTTTAAACTTGTTTTATGAAAGCCGTCGATAAATGCTTCTATGTATGATTGTTGAGTCCAGTAGACCGCACTTATTCAGTTTACACTTTAGTTGACCTCAAAATACCTGCATTTCAAACACCGCCCTCCCGCTGTCTATCTGCCCATTTAAGATATGTCTTGTTGAAACATTTCATTTCAATATTTCATGCAATTCCATCAAATGTCAAAAACTAACGTTTGTCAACTTATCTAATTATGTTTGTCAACGACGCTCAAATCGGGACGCTACACGCACCTCAGGTCACCGCATTTGAGAAAATGTGACCCCTGAACCCGTGATACTTTCTCGAACGCGATTTGTACGCGTTTAAGTGAAATAGTATATGCCTTTGTATTCATCCACTCAATGCACTGTTTATGTTCTATCTGTATCGGCTATGCATTGCAATGTAACGACGACCCCTGACTCGACCATTCGGCTAACGCGTTTCAATATCGGCAAGGACTGATCCTCCACATAATATATTTTTTAATCTCGCTGGCATTCAAGATTATGCAGATATGAACATTCCAGCATAAATGTTTGCGGATAAATACAGTTCTCGCCATATTTTGCAATCATTGAAGTAAATCTCAACAACTAACCAGAGAAGTGACGTTCATTTCGTGTCCGCAGTATTGCTTGTGACATTTTAAATTGTTTTGAAGGCGACCAAGGGCTGAGTGAGAAAATCGATGACGGGCTAGCTATTTTAAAAGAGCTTACAGTTGATTGGGGTTGTCATCTGTAAATATGGGCATTTT